CCAGGGAGCGGGCGGGGGGAGGATAGCAGCCTTCCCCTCGGGAAAGGGTTTGTTCCCACGCGGGACCCTGTCCCGATCCTGGCAAGGCGGAGAGCAGACGGAGAGGTCTGCGGAAGCATGGCCGAGGGGTGCAGGAGGCTTTTGGACCGTCCCCCATCCTTCGTTAAGCATCGCCAGCATGGTAGCGAGGAAGCAAAGCCTCGCAGTTGGGAGTGGCACTGGGATAAGCCCCTCAGGATGCCATCCTTGGGGAGTTTGGGGTGCGCTTTGTCCTGTGACTGCCACCTGCCCCCCGTTTTACCAGGTTTGGGTGGGCGTTGGCAAAAAAAACTTTCAGCTGCATCCCAGCGTGGCCCAGGCCCGGGCCGGGGCAGCTTCACCAGTAGCAGTCCTTCTCCTTGCCATGTGCCTGTCCCCGGGGCTGCCCTGACGCCCTCTGGGACATGGGAAGGGGGTGCTGGGACCATTTGTAGGGTAAGAAGGGAGGAAAATCACCCTGATGAAGTTTTTCGCAGGCAAGAGGAGGACCAGGAAAATTCCTCCACGCTGGGGAGGCCGGGAGCAGCATCACTCCAGACCTCCACCTGCCTCTGAGCATCCCCCAGGCACCTTCCGTGGTCTGAACCAGCAACATCTTCTCTTTTTCTTTTTAAAAGAAGGAAAAAAAAAAAAAAAAAGACAACACCCCCCCATCCCCTGGCAGGGCACTCAGTTGAGGCTGGGTTGGGGGAGCAGCAGCAAAACCTCCCTGCGAGTGCAGCCAGCTCGCTGATGAGATAAAGGAGGAACGTTTTTCTTTCGATTACATTAATCGTAGGTGTTACTTGTAATAACAGGCGATAAGATCTTTTGGAGAGAGTGAGGATGTTGTCTGTTTTTGGGTTGGTTTTTTTTTAAGTTTTAAGAAGCTTGGCTTGTTGAGCATTGGGAGACGTTTTGGTGAGGATGAGTTGGATGAGTGGATGCAGATGGTGCCCGCACGCCTGTTTACTGATGGGAACGAAGCTTTCCTACCCTCCACGACTAAACTTTATTTAAAATAGAGTTGTCCTTAGCTGGTGCTGGGCAGGGGCTGCTTCCCATTTCCCTGTGGCTAATTGGGTTTGAAATGGAAATGCGGCGTCTTTCCCCCAGCCCATCCCATGGTGCTGGTGCTCTTTGGTCCGGGGGTCCCAAATTCCCTCTGGGTGCAGGTCCCAGCCTGCCTGTGGGTTTGGCAGAGTGTGATTTTGGCAGGAGGAAGAAATGCTGGTGATTAATGAGAGGAAAGGTTTCCCCTGACTCGTTTTCCCGGTGCCCTTTGGATTATCAGAGTGGCAAAGGTATCTGCCATACCTGCCCTGCCTGCCCTCCCCAGCTCTTGGCCGTCAAGCTGGGCTTCCCAGAGGGAAATCCAGGAGCAGGGATGTGAGGGAGGCAGTGGGGATGAGCACAAACCTCGGCCCGTCTTGGGCTGCAGCGTTGGGCTGAGATTCTTCAACTGGTTTCCTGAGCAGAACGGCTTGAAGGATGCTCAGGCAGAGGGTGGGGAAGAAAGGGAGGTGGTTTGCAGTGGAGAAAAGGCTGGTGGGTCCCCCTGTGTGCCCCGGCTGCTTCCCCGAGCCCCTCTTTGGGGCTGGGGAGTTTCCAGGGGAGAGCGAAACCGCTACCTGGCAGGGCTGGAAATAGTCAAACCCAATGCTCGGCTCTGCCTGGCTGTTTTGTTAATTATAATTTATTTTTTTCAAGCTGACTTCTGCTGCTACACATCCTCCTTGGGGAAGCTCCCCTTCTGTAGGAGAGAAGGGGCGATGCCGGTGTTCTGACGGAGCTCTCCATCAGGGAAGGCAGAGGATGCTGCCTCTAGGCTCTTGGATCCACGCCGGCATCACCGCATCCTTCTCCCAACACCAGCATCCTGGAGGGATGAGCCCGGATGGCGGAAGCGAATGCGGGCACGAGGTTGAGGCCGGCCTGGGTGACAGCGGGTGACGAGCTCTGCTGTCACATGAGGCCACCGCAGGCAGCAGTGCCTTCGGGGGGCCAGTTGGCAGCAGCCCCCACAGCTCGATGCTCTCGGGGGCATGTGGTTTCCTCCGCTTTGTAAAGCCTCGGCTTTGAGGCAGAAATTGGATAACGATTGAAAAAAAAAAAAACTAACAAAAAAATCAGGCTGCTGCTTAGAAGTCACCCTCAGGAAGGAGAAGGTCTGTGCTAAAATCTAGAAGGGGGTGTTGGGGGATCTGCCTCCCCCTGTAAAACTGATAAGCATATTTCTTGGGCTATGTTTATAACAATCCCACTGTCTGGTGCCATGAATTTCCGCAGTCCAGGAAGGTAAAAATGCTGGGACTGGCTGGAGCGTGTTCTTCTTGGTGGGGTTTGCTAGAGCAGTTTCCTCTTTAAAAGAGAAAAAAAACACCCTTTAAAAAGGCTCAAAAACCCAAAGACAGGCTATGAATTTTGTATCCTCTCTGCATTTATAAAATATAAATGCTAGTGACATTCGTGAGCTGAAAGTCCAAACAACCAGCTTTTGGATTGGAAAGATCCGGCTCTCGCACGAGGTGGAAAAGAGCTTTTCCAACCTGTGGATGGGCTGCAGTCCTGGGACAGATCCTTGGGCATCCTTTCCAGGTGGTGCTCCCCGACATCCCCATCCGGCTCCAGTAGGCAAAGCTTGGCCAGGATTTTCTAGCTGGAGTCACATCGCAGATGAAACCACCATCCTGCTGCTTTTTCTCCTTTGCTTATTTTAAAATAGTGGCATTGGAGTGCCTGGCCGGTGGGAAGCACTGACTCAGCACTTCTTGGATGAGTGGCCCCTTGAGCAACATCCCAGACTGGCTTCTGCTTGGTGTCACCACGGGGATGGGGAACAGGGCCGAAAACCCCAGCGATGGGAAAGTCCCTCTGCAGGAACGCAGGAGCACCTCTTGCACCGGAGAGTTTGAGCTGGGGCCGTTTCGGGGGGCTGCGTTCCCAGCTGACGCTCTCAGGTCCAGCATCATCCAGCGCTGCCCTCCCTTGGGTCCTGGCCACCTCCGTGGTAGTGTCCCCAGGCTCGTGGATGCCATCAAGTTGCGTTTGGGTGCCATCTGCAGAGGTTTTTCTTTGTCAACAGCCCTGGGGCTGGTTGGGAAGAAAACCAACTTGACTCATGGGGCCCAGACGCTGCGGTGATGGGCTTCACTGGAAACCCCAGCACTCAGCTTCCCGTCCCCAGACTTTGTCCTTAGGGTGAGCGTCCTCTCTGATCCCAAAACTAAAGTGACTTGTGGCATGTCCCCTTCTGGGGGAAAGTGAGGGAGGTGGTGGCAGTGTGATGCCTTTTCTGGAAGGGTCCGGGCACGGCTGAAGTGGAAATGGTGCCGTGTTCGCACCCGCTCTCTTCCTCCCCGTAGTTCTGCCCCTTATCTTCTTCCTCCTCCTGTCTCTGCTGGCCTTGCCCCTCGTTTCAGTTCCTCCTTCCCAAAATATTTTGAGCTGCTGACGGCAGGGCTGGGGGCGGGGGGCGGGGCGCGGACGGGAGACAA